TCATGGGTGCTGGAAATCCAGATGTAATCAACAATGAGCGTAACTACTGGGTCCCAGTTCTCTTTTTCAATACACCTGTGAGTCTGGTATCTTTAGGTCCAATTTACAGGGAAGAAACTGAGGCAAAGAAAGGCAAAAGGATTTGTCCACAGTCATAGCCCTGCCAGCCTCCAATCACACTAGAAGTCCAGGTTACAAGTCAGCGCAAGGCCTGGAATATTCAGGAGGCACTACATGCAAGGGGCGGGGGTGATACAGGGATCAGGGGAGAGGGAGGAGTAGGAAAACTCCTGAAAATTTTCAAAGAACAAGTGGTATTTTCCAAGTAGACAAGGGGGTAAAGGGCACTCCGGACAGAGGGACCAACATGTGCAAAGATCAAGTGACATGACTGGCCGCGATGTGTTCGTGGAATCGTGCTAGAAATGAAGTGCTGGTGACAGAGGCCGTTACAGGAGACGGGGCTGTGGGGACCAGGAGGAGATGCTGAGCCCGTTCTAGACACAGAATCTGAGGGGCCTGTGGGTGGCCAGCCAAGTGGCTGACAAGAACTGAACATCAAGGCTGGAACCTGGCGCTGGCTGGGCAGCTCAGTTGATTAGAGCATCATCCCCATGTGCGAAGATTACAGGTGTGATCCCCAGTCAGGGCACAGGCAAAAATCAACCAGTCAATGCCTGAATAATGGGAACAACTCAGCTATTGGCTGGCAGGGAGGTTTACTGATGTTTGGAGCTTGCACCCCAGGTCCCTGCGGGGGTCACTGCCTATTCATTCCCAGAACCCCTCTTCCCTTTCCCTCTCCCGCCTCAGCATGCCCTACCTCACCTGCACCTGAAGTACAAGTCAAATCTGTGACCTGGGGAGCTCACACATACTCTCTCCCTCTTCCCCTTGCCCAAATTACTACAGCAGCGCCTTCCTGCCGGCTCCGTCTTAGCAATGCCGACTCCATGCTATAGCCAAAATGCTCTTTCTAACGCTGTCCATTGCCCCATGAGCACCAGCCCTAAAATACAATGCAATGCAGGGTTGGCCGGTTTACATTTGAGAGCTTTCAGCATGCGAGGCCAGGGTGACACCCCAGCCTCTGGAACGTGCCCAGGTTCATCCCTGACCTCCCTCGGGGCTCCCAGCCTCTTTGCTGACAGATAGTAGCTTGTCAATGAGGGTTTGAAGCTGACAGATTCTGAGCCAGGGAAGTTGCCAGGACTAGGCACCTGCCCCACCCACCCCAGGCCTGTATCTGGGTCACTGGAAAAAGGAAATCTGATAAACCCATTCAAGCTTCACAGCTCCTCCTTATCTCCTCAGTTATTTGCATTTTCAATTGAAGGCAGAGATAGAGACCTGAGTCTTAGTTCAATAGGCCCTATTTGGTCCACTTAATTCAACAAATACTAGGGGCCTTGGGACACACAGGATACCGTTAAAGAAATGATAAAAAAAAATGTCTCCAGCCCTTTCCACTCACTGATGGGGAAATTGAGGCCTAGAGGAGGAAAGTAGCTCGCCCAAGGCGAGAGGGCAGAAGGCAGGCCCCGTTTAACGCCCCTGGCACCACAATTCCACTCCATCACTATCTGTTCGATTCGCTAACTGACGTGTACCTCACATCCATGCCCTGACCTTCCTGTGAGGAGTGTGTGCACAAGTGGTGTGGTCTGGGCTCTGGGAGAGCAAGATGCGGGGAAGCGGGGAGGCAGGCACAGGAAGGCTGCCGTGAACACGGCAAGCTCTGAATAAACAAAGGTGCCTTTATAGGATTTTGACGTTGTTGTTGTAACTGGGAAAACTTCATCCCAAACGAGGCCCCCCACTCTTCTGTTTTCTTTTCCTGCAGCTCCCTCTTGTTAGTCCTTTTCTTCTTCCTTGTCTGGATACTCCTCCGCCAGGAAGCCTCCCTGGCCTACAGCAGAATCCGCAGTGGCATGTTGTCGTGGTCACCTGCAGAGGTAGAGAGACCCCATCCAAAGATTTGGTTCAGTGTCAAGGCTGATGACACCACATACATACCGAGAGTGCATGACAAGTTTTATTTATGTAATTGAGGTCTCTGGGGGAGCGGGGCTGGCCTCCCGAGCAGGTTTTAAATGGTCCGAGAGGGCCAAGAAAGGAGATGGGCCCAGGATTTTGACTGTGGTTAGGAAATGAGGTCAGGGTGACCAATCGTGTGGGAAGGGCTTGCGGGGTTCAAACCTCCCATGGATGCCAAAGGGGGGAGCGCAGCACCCAGGGCACATCAGCTTTTCCAGGTGTGGGCACAAGGGGAAGAGGGAGAGGTGATGGCTTAAAAGCAGTCAGCAGTCAAACATCAAAAACTGGACTCAGATTCCTCATTACACATGTTATTCATGGGCCTTTCTTTATTTCTCGCTCTCTCTGTTTCTAGATGAGTCCCTTCTCCATGGGGAGGAGTTGACAGGATGAAGTCAACTGAGGAACCAGATGAGGTTGTGGCTGATGTCACCGAAACCAGAGCATTTTAGGTATTAGGCATGAACGCTCCAGCCCAGAGGCCTTTCCAGTCTCCAAGCCTCCCTCCACCATCCCATCTTCCTCAGATCTGTTGGATGCTCCCCCACATTCCTGAGCTTCGGCCCTCCCCCTAGCAGGCGCCCGAGCTCCCGCTCCCACATTCCCTCTGGACACTCCCCTGGAGTGGAAAAACCATCCCTCATCCCTTTCCTGCTCCCAGCCCTGGGATCGGACATGCTGGTCATTCCTGTTGGGGATGGCCAAAGAGATAACGCTTGGCATGGAGCCCTTCTATGTCATCACAGGAGTCTCAAAGCTGTTTCAGGCAGGACCCCTACCCACGCGGAGTGGGCACCCTGGCCCCGGAGCTCCTGGCCCTGGCTGAACCCTTTCTCTTGGGACAAGGTGGAAGACCCAGCAGCTAGGCAAGAGGAGAGAAAATGAATGGTTCAACTTCTAGCCAAGTCAGCTTCCTGTTCCTTGACCCTCAATATCTCCTAATGCCTGGAGGCTCGGCCACAGGTGGACCGTGGAGACAGGCTGGATGGCTCTGGGAGTCACAGCTTGGGAACAAAAGCTCTCCTAAGGGCAGGCAGGGACCTCAAAAACTCAGAGAACACTGTTATCTCAGCTGCTTTTGTTTAGGCATATCTGGCTCTCTGATCAACATCTGCCTGGAGTTTGCCTCTCAAAGACACAGCTGCTGTAAGCGGCTTCCCGTCCTAACTGCCTCCCATGAGCCTTATGATCTTGGACATCCAGGTTCTCTCATAAATCACACGAAGATGATAATCCTGACTTCGCAGGGAGGCTGGGAGGGTGAAATGAGAGGCTGTGTGTGACATGAGTCATCGAGTGTGGATCTGGCCCTTCCCAAGCTCTGAATCTAATTTCGTACTCCTAATTCTTTATTCTTTTCTTTAAAGAGAGCTCCAAATTGTACAAGCCCAGAGCATTATACAAAAATGTTAATTATTAGCTGAAGCGGCCGAGGAAAGCTCTGTGGTCAGATAACACAGGATTAAAATCTGAGCTGTGTGGCCTTCATCAAGTTGCTTAACCTCCCCGAGCTTCAGTTTTCTCACCCTAAAACAGAGATAACATCTAATCAATTGTTGTAAGGATTTAATTTGATAATATTTGTAAAGGAGTTAGCACAGTTCCGGCTGTATAAGGACACCACATGGTAGTTTCCTCTTTTTTTATTTTTGACGTTTAAACAAAATTTATTTACTTATTTATTTTCAGAGAGAGGGGAAGGGAGGGAGAAAGAAAGTGAGAAAAACGCCCATCATTTGCCTCTCGCACACTCCCAACTGGGGACGTGGCCCCGCAACCCAAGCATGTGTCCTGAAAGGGAACTGAACCAGTGACCCTTCGGTTTCCAGGTCGGCTCAATCCACTGAGCCACACCGGCCAGGGCGGCAGTTTTCTGATGATTATAAACTCTCAGAGACAGGGGCGCTAAATTGAATTTGAAGGGAGTGAGCGCTGAGGGCTGAACTCCCTGGACCAAATAAGAAAGCTCCTTTAGCTTAGTGAAAAGAATGTTCTCAGGAAATGGGTCTTTGTGCTGCTGTAACGGAAACCTGACTTAAACCGCACGGTGACCATTAGACGTTCCCTTTCAGTCGGTTCTTCTGCGAATAACCTTTAAGCACCGCCCATCTGCGAATAACCTTTACGCGCCGCCCACCGAACTCCAACTGGCACCACCTACCACACACCTGTCGGGGCTGGCATCCCCGCCTAGCCTCCACTCAGTCTGAGCCTGGGTGGGAGAAGAGCAACTTCGGGATTCTGCTGGGCTAGTCCCTGGAGGCAGGGGTGGTTGAGAAGTGGCTGTTGTCTGGGTCCAGCTCCCTGGTCACGCAGGGCACTCTTAGGAGAAGGGATTCATTTCCACATCGATAGGCTTATAAGAGATACCAGAAGACGCAGTCTTTTGGGGGAAAACGCTGTCTTGTTGCTAATACTAAGAATGCTTGGTTATTTACTACTGCTAAATATCAGTCTGGCTTTGCTGAGGGACCATTCCCACCTGGGATCAGGGTGGATGGGGGCGGGTGGGCAGAAGAAAAAAAAACGACGAGGACAGGAAGGGGCTGCGAGCCAGAAAGAATGCCCAGAGACCGTGAGCCTCCCCCCAGGGACTCACAGCACGGCAGAGGCGAGTAGGGCTTTCCAGGCAGCGGTGCGCGAAGCTCAGTTCGCCCGCGCTCTCCAGCCAGGCGGGCAGAGGTGGCCGCGACTGGAACGGCCTTTGCAGCAGCAGTAGCTGCCGCAGCAAAGCGTCTGGACAAATCCCAACCCCGGCTCCGCCCGTCCAATCCATCTTGCTAAAAAATGCGACGCTTCTCGGGAGACGCAAGGGGCGGGGATGGGAAATCCTAGCCTTTGGGGGCTCTGGACAGGTGTTTGGGGGAGAGGGCGGAGCCGTTTGGGGGAGGATGAGGAGGGAGGGGCGGTGCTGCCCCTTTAAGAGGCGGTGGCGGAGCCCGGACCTTTTCTTTTTCCCCGGAAGGAGAGCGGAGCGGCGGCTGGGAGCGCAAGGTGGGGAGGTGCGGAGCTGGGCGTGGAAAGGCGGGGCGCGAGAGGGGCACCCCTCCCTCCCGCGCTCCTTGCGGTCTACCGGTTTGCCTGCCCAGCCAGATCCGCCACCGAGCCAGGATCGAAGGCGACAGTGCGGCCAAGGGGGCGCGGCCGGGACGAGCTGTTGGGCAGGGTGTCCGGGGCAGGGGCGCGGTGACCCGACGCGGGGCTGGCGGGAGAATAGATCCACGGATCTCGGAGGGGAATCTGAGAGCGCAGACCTTGAGCAGACGTGAAACCGACCAGGGCTGGGAGCCAGAAACTGATCAGCGTTACGGGGCTTAACGACGCGGCGGGCCAGAGTGTTTTCCAGTGTGGCCGAGAGCAGGTGAACAGGTCCTCACTCCCAGCTCCCCGTCCTCACGCGCTCTCGCCCCGGTTCCGCTCCCGCTCGCAGCCATGGGCCCCAGTCTCCGCCGCACCATCCGCGTCCTGCGCCCGATGCTCTGCGCGATCGCCTTGATGGTGGCCCCTGGCGGTCGCTTCGCCTTCGCCTTCAATCTGGACACCCGATTCCTGGTGGTGAAGGAGGCCCGTAACCCGGGCAGCCTCTTCGGCTACTCGGTCGCCCTCCATCGGCAGACGGAGCAGGAGCTGCGCTACCTGTGAGTGAGGCTGGCGGGGGTGGGGTGAGAACGAGTGTGTGTGTGCTGGGTGACGATTCGCAGGTGAGTCTAGGGCCGCCGGCTACAGTGAGCGAGGATTAAGGGGGCGGGGACCTGGGCAGCCCTCCTGTTGCCCAGGTTTGGCGGGAAGTGGAGCGATTAGGCATGGGAGGAGGGGGGCAGTAACCATTGGCAAGTGCTGACCCAGCCAGAACCTGTCTAGACGCAGCCCCTCAGGAGAGCAGAATGGGGTCCCGCTTTCCAAGCCCCCTTCCATTCTCTGAGTTGAGTACCTCTTCTCTCCAGGGATGGGAGCTGGGAAAACTGCAAGATAACACTTAGTGGTTCCCTCTTCCTCGTTTTCCGGGAAGAACCTATGGGCCCATGCATTTAAGCCCTCTCCCTTTACACCTCGCATTTAGTCTGCGGCGGCGTCAGCCACACCCTCTGCAGAGCCAGACTGGAGGCTCTTCTCAGCCTCTTGGTGGTTGGAAGGTGAGGTGATGCGTCCGTGGTCTGTGTGTCGTCCGTGGTCTGTGTGTCGGAGCTGTCCAGGGGCTCCCTCTGATCTCTTGAGGCCGAGGAATTAAAGATGGGGGGGGGGGGCTGTCCCAAATCCTGCTTGGTCTCCTGCCCCTCCAGCCCAGCAGAGACACCCTCCCACCAGATGGCTTTCCTGCATTCCACAGATTCATGTTGAATCTTCAACCCTGAGTATGTTTGTTTGGTTTGAAGAGGGAAATGGTGTTTTTCTTTTTCTTCTGTTCTCCTCCAACAGCTGCAAGGAGGGGAAGAGCTAGGCATAGGGAGAAAGGGGAAGGTGACTGCATCCAGCTGCTTGTGTGTCCTGTCCCCCCCCCAACCCCCACCCCTGCGCCTACTGCCATCATACACACTTGTACCCGCAGGGGCATGTCTAGGTTTCAGATATTTCTCTGCATAGACTCATGAGGTCAGCAGTTCGGGAAGAGGACACTGGGGGAGGTGAGACTGCCCCTGGAGGGAAGGTGGTTAGGACAGGTCAGGCCGGCCCCGTCACTTTGAGCTGGGTGACCTGCCAGATGTCTGCCCCCAACTGGTGTCTGACCCCCGCTGAGCAAGAGGACATGGTCAGAAAAACTGTGTTGAAACCTCGCCCAGCTCTGGCTGGGGCCTACAGAAACTTGAGGAAGGTTGGAATGCCCAAAGTCCAAACTCAGCTCCTGCCCTGCCAGCCCAGCCCTACTCAGTCTACCTACCTGAACTTGGCCTCAATTCCATCTAGTTTCTGCAGAGGCCAGGGCCACCACACCCTTCCCAGCCTGGCCCCAGGAGATTCGGTCTGGCCTTGACCAATCCTCCACCTTTTGGAGGCTCTAAGGAACCATCAACACAAGTTTCTCTATTGGTGCTCTTTCTGCCCCCTTCCAGAAAAAAGATTTTCTATGCTAAGGCAACATAGTGTAAAGAAAAGATCAGGAAGGCAAGAGGAAAGCGGGGGCCGGGGGGGGGGTCCTGGTTTTGCTGTGACCTTGAGCAAGATATTTCTCTTCTCTGGGCCAGTTTTCCCCAAAGAGAGATTGGACCTGGATCTGTCGGCTCCTTCCTGCCTCTGTGGCCCTATAAGAGGCACCCTGGCATCGTGGAGAGAGAAGGACCTACAGAGTTCCATTGCCAATTGTCACTAATACCTAAGCCTTAATTTCCCCACATGCCAGGGAAAGGGGAAGAACACACCTCCTTCATGGGGTGATAGTGGCACTTCAGTGAGATAATGCATGTAAAATACTCTGCATATGCCAAGGCACAGCTGAGGGCTCTTGTACCAAAGCCAGGACTTGGCTCTACCCTCACTACTCACGGGCCTCGCCCAAGGTGGCTGAGCAGAGAAGTTCTACTTTTCTTCCCAGGCAGCTAGAGATGGCATTAGGCCTGAAAAGAGCCCAGAAGTTCTAAAACTGAGGAACCTCAGAGAGGCGGGCAGTTCTATCTAGACAGACTTCTGGGTTACTCTTTTGGGTATCCTCAGCCTTTCCCAGGGGGTGGTTCTAGATCTTAGCTTATCTCACTGAATTCTGCTCCTTGGCCCTTTAGGAGAGCCAAGTGACCCAGCTGGGCTTAGCTGCAGCCAGCTGTGCAGCCAGATGTGAACAGCTGCCTGAGTGCACAGCTCAGGGGAACCAGCAACTCAAGTCTCAGTCTTATATTCTGCTAGCCTCAAAGTCCCTTTGGAAAAGAGCGAGGGTTCATGGTCCTGAACAAACTCTTAGGCTGGGGTTCATAGGAGGTTTTCTGGAGGTGGAGCGACCCCTGAAAGTAGGTGTAATATCACGCGTATTTGTGCGTTGTTCTGGGGGGTGAGAGCAGGAGAGAGTGTAGCTTTCGCCATATCCTCAAAGAAGGGCTTATTCCAAAAATGGTTAAAAGACCAGGTGCGGACCTTCTTTGTTCCCCATACCTCCATCTCTGGACCAGGATTTCCTGCCCGCAACATTAGATGCTTACCTCAACTCAGGCCACAATTTCTGTCTCTTGATGTGAGGGATGAGGAGCAGGGCAGAGGACGAAGTGCTTTGGGCTCCTTGGTGAGATGCATGAGGACCCCTGGGGAAGCAGAGGGACTGTTCCTCAGGGAGATGGCTACTGGCTCCCTTGCCCCCGGCACTTGCTCTTTATTCCCTCCCGGGAATCCAGGTGCCCTGGTCTGGCCTGACCTCGTGGGCTATGGGAGATGCCTCGGGGGCCCTCTCTCCCTTTCACCCAGGCCTGACAATGAGTGTTTCTGGGAAGTCTGCAGTGGGGGCGGCTGGGGCTCCTGGAAGATGAGGTCATACCCGAGGGAGGCAGGAATCAGGATTACCTGATGTGCTCTCCTAAAACATGTTTCCCTGGGCGGAGCAGCCACCTGACCGCCTCCAAGGCTCGTGCCAGAGGGAACGGACACAGCAGCTGTGGCTGCAGGCAGAAGGCCTGCATTTGTAGTGTCCTTTTCCTCTGACACTCTCCAATGACCAGTCCGGGCCAAGGAGCTTTGAATCAGGCAGGAGGCAGGGGAAGCCTGATCCCATAGAAAAAGAAAGGGGCTTGGTCAGAGCTACACAAAGGAGGAAGAGCGTGTCCATTGCAGCAAGAGGAATTGAGGTTAGATGACAAGAAGAATGCCCTAAGGGATCAAATATGGAAAAAATACTACAGAGCAAGGGAGAGGGAGAAGAAATGAGAAAAATGGCCTTGTTCTTTTTAATCTGAGGCTTGGGCCAAGGCCTCTTTCTCCTGTTCTCTCTCGTTCTATCGCTTTCCCTAGCTTGTTGCTCTAGTTCTAGGGCTGAGTCACCGGAGGGGGAGGGGGCTGGGTGGGCAGCATAAGAAGTAGGGGGAGGACAGAAAGGGCTGCAGTTTCAGCTACCACAGGAGCAGCCTCTAGGGAGATGGCTAATTTGGGCAGCAGGATTGGCACAGAGCTGGGATCCAGGCTTCTGAGAACTGCCCCCTCGCCCCTACCCCTGGGCTCTGAGCTGGGGCAGCCCCTTCCCCAACCTGCTGCCCATCCTGAGGTGGAAGGGAACCCTGAAGAGTAAGGCATGGGGGCCCGTTGGCCTGAGTAGGGGACCCTGTGGCCCTCTCCAGGTTAACTGAAATCTTCCTACTGGAGCCACACCAGCGCCCCCCTGAGGTTAGGAGTCTGGGAAGCTAACTCGACTGGCTGCGTCTCTGAGCATCACCCCGCCCCAGGAGGCCTCCTTCTCTTTGGGATGAGCCAGCTGGGTGCCCTGACCCACATGGGCCTCGCACCCTGGCCCCTTCCCATTCTCCTGCTTTCTACTTGGCTGTTCCATTAGCTTTGAACCGAGTCATGGGTCAGGGTGAGGAAGTGCTTTTCCAGAACTTGGAGCTCGGTGGGCTCCCCAGAGTCTAGGAGGGGCTGCCTGGCTGGAGCCAAAGGAGAGGGTGAGGAGGCAGCTAGCTGTTTGAAAGCCCTTAAGTGGTCATTTTACCCATCTACCAACCTCCCAGAGGGGCTCCCTGCCCACCCCCCAGCTCAGCCTCCCTCCAGCACAGGTTTGGTCTGATCTTTCTTCCTTGCTCCAAGAGCTGGGCAAAGCCTCCCGCTTGGCCTCCTTCCTTCTGACTCCTTCCGGGAGGATGGGCTCCGTGGTGGTCTAGAAGGGGGTCAGCTTTTGGATTCTCTGATCTGGACCAGGTCGGACAGCAGACAGTTACGTGCTCATTTGCATATTAATTTTCATATCAGTAAGGTCTCTCCTACCCTCTGGGTTCTCCCACACCTGGCTATGGCTGGAGGCAGCTGGACCTGAACCTCTGCACACCCATCTTCCCCCCCAATCTACTCCCAGTCCTCTGGCTGTAGACCCATTGGATCCCGGGCTGGGAGCCAGAGGGCTTTAAAGGGCCTCCGAGCAGGCCAAGTTGGAGCTAAAAATACTCCAGGGGGTGGAGGTGGGGGCTCCCAGTGGAATTTCTGGGAAGGGAGAGGCTTAGGATGTGGGCCTGGGATTAGGGCATTGGCCCTGCCCCACTGCCCATCAGGAGGCACAAGGCGGGGCGGGGAAGGTTATAGGTGGTAAGGGGATTCATTTCAGTCCAATTGCCCGTTGTGTGCAGCTCTGCCTGCTCGGTTCCCCAGGAGGCTAAGAGGAGGGGTCCCTCAGCCCATGCCTCGGACATCTTGGGCAGGCAGCAGTGGGAGCGACGACACCTCCATTCCACTGCACACCCTGGGAAGCAACCTGGGCGCCTCTGGCCCACAAGCCTCTGGCTTCTCCTTCCCGCCATCTCTGAGCTCCCACCGTAGAATGGCTCTAGTTCTCAGGGCCCCACGGCCCCCTTCGTGACTGCCTGGTCTCCTCTCCTTAGGTGTTGGAAGTGCTTCTGTGTCCCACCCTCTGCTCCATCTACATAACCGGACTATTGGGCCACTTGCCCTCTGCTTCAGGCTTCCTAACCTGGTTGGAGTAGAAAGTTGCGGGTTCCTGAGGCGAGACTAGGGATGTGCCTAGGGCCAGTCCTGGTGTCTCAGGGATCGGAATGACAGCGCTCCTGTTGGCCATAGCTTCGTTGTCAGAAAGCCCCTTTGAAAGAAAGAACCTCCCCTCCCCGCCATAACCCTGGAGATCGCAGGGACAGCTGCTGTCCCCCTGTTACCGATGAGGCACTCAGGGCTCAGAGAGGGAAAGGGAGGTGCCCCTTGAGGCAGAACAAACCTTAAAACCAAGCCCTTAGGCTCCCAGGCTGAAATGTTTCTTTCCTAGGCCTCCTCTCTCTCACCTGCCAGGCGCCTCAGGGGTGGCCATCCATGGGTGGTCAGGAAGCCACTCACCAGGCACCCTCCTGAACCTCGAAGAGGGTGACTAAGTGGGCCTGGCTGCCACACTGGCCCCCCGCCAGCCTTTCTGCCTAGCCATGCCTAGCACTTCCCCAGGCCTGAGTGAGGTCTGAGATGAGGTGTAAGGAACAGGCAGAGGTTCCGCCCCCTTTCCAGCACCCGCAGGCAGTGCATTCCTGACACCCATTGGGCGGAGGTACCCAGGCCCTGGCTTGCCCAGGCCCCCGCCCTGCCCACTCCCTGCAGCCTTCCCTCCCAGGTCCCAGGCAGGAGCCACAGGCGGGATATGGCTCTGCACTTCCAGACTCTGGCAAGTGGCCCGGAGCCCCATTTCTGAGCTGGGAGCCTCGTGGTGATAGCTTTGTTGGGCTCAGATGGAGGGGTTCTTCAGAGGTGCCTGCCACCCAGGAGGCTGGGTCCACCAGGATCAGGGAGGCAGTCCTGGCAGAAGGTCCAGAGGCTGTTGAGAGGTGACATGATGCTGGGAGAGCAAAGAGTGGTAGAGCTGGGTTCTCAAACTGGGTGTACATGCCAAGAATGCAGATTCCAGAGCTCCACCCATATTCTATTCAGATGGTCTGTCATGGGCTGAAGAATTTGCCTTTTTAACACATATCCCAGGGATTTCTGATGCTGGTGGCCTAAGGACTCTTTAGACCTATTATTCCAAGGCTGATCCCCTTTCTGACCTCTGGTCACTTCTCTGGGATGAGATGGGTTGCCAGGACCCTAGGCATCCTTGTAGGAACTTGTAGCCAGTGTCCCTGAAGATGGGCAGCCTGGGGACCAGGTGATAGTCCTCGCCCATCCCCACTCTCGTGCCCACCTTCCAAGATCACTGCCCTGGGGCCACATTGTTCAAAATGCCAGGTACCCAGTCCCCCAATACCTGCGTGCCTGTCTTAAGGTGCGGGGGGCGGGGCAGGGAAACATCGCCCAGAGCACTTAGGGGTCCATGTCTCGATCTAAGTCCTCAGATGACTTAGAGTGGCAGGACCCAGGTTCCCAAGGACAGACCCCAGCCCTCTCCTCACACGCTCTCCCCTTGGGCCCCCCGGAAGTTGCACCCTGCACCAGGGTTCTCCCAGTCATGCTCTCTTTTGGTCTATCTTCATCTCAGAGGCCAAAGCATTCCTTCCAAAACCCAGCTCTGACGCTGTCACGCCCTTGCTTAATATCCCTCCAAGGCTCCCCTATGGCTCTTCCCACCCCGGCCTCTCATCCCTCCCCAAGTTCCTGGATTCCAGCTGTATCAGGGCCCTGCAGATCCCTAAGTCGCCCTGCTGGCTCATGCTTTCTGGCCCTTTCTCGTGCCGTTCATGTGCCTGAAGTGCCATTCCTTCCCTTCCTCACCTGGTGAACCCTGGTTGTCAGACGCAGGCCAGGTCCCCTCTTCCCTGACTGCTCCTCACACAGAACCTGGGCTGGTTTGCTCTCTGCATTCCTCTCACAAGGCACCGACTGCGGAGGTCTGCTTCCTGGCCTGCCTTCCCCCGCATGGGTGCTCCTGGAGAGCCGCAGCTGGGCTCCGTTTATCTCCCAACCCCAGAGCCTGGCACAAAGCCTGGCAGAGCAGATGCTCAGTAAATACAAGTGAAACAGCAAGTTGTTTGAAGTGGGCTGTGGAAAGTCTGAGCCCAGGCCCCCTGCCTCCTTGCCCCCCAGGCTCCTGGTTGGTGCCCCCCGGGACCTCGCCATGCCTGATGGCTCTACCAACCGGACTGGTGCTGTGTACCTGTGCCCACTCACTGCCCACAAGGACGACTGTGAGAGGATTGACATCACAGAGAAAAGTGAGGGGAAGGGGCCGGGGACCACTGCCAGGTCGGGAGCCTGGCGGGGGCGGGGGTGGCCGAGAGAGGAAAAACGTGGAGGGGATAAAAGGCTCCCCTGGGCAGTTTCTAGTCACTTCTTGAACAAATGAGAAGAGGGGGTCCTAGAGCGGGACCACACGGGATTTGTGGAGCTCCGACAGGGGGGCGGGGGCTGGAGACGGGGAGTAGGGACGGCTGCACTGCTGCAGTGGAGGACCGGGGAGGGACCAACCCCGGCCCTCTGGAGGCTCTAGGCACTGGGAGGGTGGGGTGCCGTGGCTCATGATCCCTCCCACAGGTGACCCTGACCGTCACATAATTGAGGACATGTGGCTTGGTGTGACTGTGGCCAGCCAGGGCCCTGCAGGCAGAGTCCTGGTAAGTGGGCACTCAAGTCGGCTGCGCGCCCGCCCCCCCCCCCCCCCCGGCTCTGGCCCTCTCCTTCATCTCCCTGGAGCTGGGGGGAAAGCAGAGGATAGAGGGGGTCCTTGGTGCATGAAGGGGGGTGGTTTGCAAATGTCCATTTCTGTGGCTAACTGTGTCCCTCAATCCTGCCTTTATTGGGGAGGGGCGGGTCTGGCACACTCCCAAGACCCAGCATGACCTGGGTCCGTCTGAATCACACTTCCTCCCTGCCCCACCCCAGCCACCCCTTGAGTTGCTCACCCTTCGTGGGAAGGAACTCAGTTGAGCTGCTGGATCTGCAAGAGAAAAGGGCAGATCCGGCCTCGGGCAATGTGGCCTGATTTCACCCCTTCCTGGGAGGCTGCCTGGCTGAAGAGGCATAATCCTGCTGACCCCAGCTCAGTTAGATTGGGTTTGGGGGCCACTTGCTGTTGTCAGTTGTTACCTCCTGCCCACATTCTTCAGTGCTGGCCCTGGGCGGGGGAGGGGGCAGCACCTCAATTTCTGAGTTCCAGATAGACAGTTTTTAAAAATTGATGTAAAATTTGCATACAGTGAGATGTACAGATTTTAAATTTCCATGAGTTTTGAAAAGTACACACCTGTGTAACCAAGGTCCGTTAGCGAAACAGCATATTTATATCACTCTAGACAATGTGCCCCCTTTCAATAAATCATCACTCCCACAGCCATCACTGCTGTGCTCTGTCACATTTGGACACTTTTAAGTTCCAGGTTTGCATCGATTCGCTCATAGACCTTTTTCAGACCACTGTTGTGGCGGTGTGCGTCTAGGACCCACTGAAGGCAGTTCTAGGTCCAGGGTCCTTCAGTGTTGTCAGCTCACCCCCCCTACCTATTCCTTCGACAAGTTTTTAGTGAGCACCTACTCTGTGCCATGCACGGTGCCAGCACTAGGAACTTAGTGGTGACAAGTCAGGCTCGGCTGGTGGGAGTGAAGCTCGCAGTTGGAAGGGACAAAAAAAGTAAGCCAACAAAAACTAGACCTGGTTCTGGATTTTTCCTGGCCCGTGACTGCTCTACAGACACCCTATTCTGATTGATTTGCCCAATAACTATTTACTGAGTGCCTCCAGCGTGCTGGGAAAAGCTGCAAGAGAAGCAGCACAGCCCAGTGTTTAACAGCTTAGACTTCAAGCCGGACAGCCTTGGTGTGAACATTCTCTGCCTCTCTCTAGATGAGACATCTTAGGCAGAGAGACTTATTCTGTGTCTCAGTTTCCCTGTCTAAAATGGAGAAAGTAATTGTCCCTACTCCACAGTGTTGTTAGGAAGCTTAAAAGGGCTAATATGTGAAGAGCTTAGAATTGTGCCTGGCATATAGTAAGCACTCAGTTTTAACTGCTATTATTATTGTTGTTGTTGTTGTTCTTAGTGGTCCTTTCATTAAGAGGGCAACGTGGTGTCCTGGCTGGTGTGGCTTAGTGGGTTGAGCACTGGTCTGCAAACTGAAAGGTTGCTTGTTCGATTCCCAGCCAGGGCACATGCCCAGGTTGCTGACCAGGTGTCCAGAGGCAACTGATTCCTCTCTTCCCCTCTCTCTAAAAGATAAATAAAGCTTACGAGAAAAAAAGAGGGCAGGGTTACTGGGGGACAGCAGAGAAGCAAGTTCCTTAATTTACTTGGTATCCAGCTCCTTTTAGACCAGAGAGCCTGAACCCATATTCCCTCATCCTTTCCCATTTTGTTTTGCCAAGATCTCTGAGCCACTCTCAAATCCAGTAACTTCCGTCTTCCCACAAAGCATTTCCAACTTTCAGAGCAGATTTCTAAATTTTGGAAAGGAGACGCAGGTCCAGGCATCACTGGGGGAAGAAAGAAAAAGAAGGAGGCCCCTTTCAAATCCTCTCCTGCAGAGCCAGAGGTGCACAGGGCCAAGGAGACAACCAGTCCTGGGTCCCTGCTGCAGGCTCAGGCTGTGTGTTGGGGTGGGGTCCCCAGGTCTGCGCCCACCGCTACACCCAGGTGCTGTGGTCGGGGTCAGAGGACCAGCGGCGCATGGTGGGCAAGTGCTATGTGCGGGGCAACAACCTAGAGCTGGACTCCAATGATGACTGGCAGACATACCACAACGAGATGTGCAACAGCAACACTGACTACCTGGAGACTGGCATGTGCCAGCTGGGCACCAGCGGTGGCTTCACCAAGAACACTGTGTACTTCGGTGCTCCCGGTGCCTACAACTGGAGAGGTGAGGACCATGGGGGGAGACGAGGAGCAGAGGCTGCCCACCCCAGGTAGCCACTGGAACAGCTGGCCGAGACCCTCCACGCTAGAGGGCAGAAGAGACAGGGCCTTTTTGCCCATATCAGCAACCACCACGACTTCTACTGCTTTAAAGCACTTAATATGTGCCAGAGGCTTTACACATATCATTTTATTAATCTTAAAATACTCTATGAGGCAGGCATTATTATACCCATTTTACAGAAAACTGAGCCTCAGAGAAGTGAATTGCTCAAGCCAACCATAAGTTATGAAACATGAATTAGAACACAAGTCCACCCGACTCCAGTTTAACCATTAAAAACTGGTTTAGAAAGTAAAACATGTTCCTGGTACAACTGCTAAATGGTATGGTAGGATTTGGTAAAATAAAGAGTAAAGGTGCCCCTCCTTTCTTCCCTGCCACCTCCCCCCCATCTTCCTCATCAGTTTCCCAGTGTATATTGTATCTTGTGGATCATCCAGACTTATTTTAGAATTTCTATAGGTACCTTTAAAACACACACAAAGAGAATCACGCTAAACATGCTGCTCTACTTTCCCTTTTCACGTTTTAATAAACTGTGGGCATTTTTTTCATGCCAGTGCTTATAGGGCAGTTTTTTGAGAGCTGCAAAGTATTTCCTTGTATCAAGACCCCTGCTTGTAACAACCAGAGCACAGGAGCCTGAGGGCCCACACCCCGTCCCTCTCTGCCTCTCTCCACCGCAGGGGTTGCAGCGACAGCAACCCCTTACTGCACTCAGCTGTAGAATCAACAGGCAGAAGGAGCCCAGAGCCTCGCCCTCCCTCCAGACCCGGATGTGGTTGCAGCTCTGGGCTCACTTGAGGCTGAGGCCCCTGCTTGTTCCAGTGTCCTGCCTCCCACTGCCTGGTCGTTCAGAACCTTGGCGGAGTGGCAGGGACTAGACAGCAGCAGCCCCAGGGAGCAGGGGCCAGGCAGGCAGCCCGAGTGTGGGTGCAGGTCCCAGAGGAGATAATGGCCTGAAGTCTGGCCTCAGTGTCGAGTGGCAGAAGTGTCATCTAGTATCCAGGAGCCTGGGTGACTGGATTCCAGCCACGTCTCTACAACTAGCTCCCTGTCCCCGAGCCTTATTTTCTCACTTCCAAAATGCGAGTCATCATTCTACTTCACAGAATCGTTCAAGTAAAGAGGAAATGATGTGCACATGGCAAAGTGCTCACAAATATTTCAAAAGGTTATTAATATCCTTCTCTGGGGAGAGGCCTGGACATGGCAGAGGACAGGGGTGGGGACTTACACTCCCTCTCCCCAAATCTTTGTGAAGGAAACAGCTACATGATTCAGCGGAAGGACTGGGATTTAACCGAATACGGTTACAAGGACCCGGGAGACCAAGGAAACCTCTATATTGGTGAGTCCAGTTGCGGGTGCCCAACGGGTGGAAGGGGAGGGGGTGCTCAGTCCCTGGCAGGCTGGCCCTCTCACCTTCAGTGCCTGGTGGAACAGTGAGGCCAGGGGGCAAGTGCGAATAGTGGCGTTAAGTTCAACGAGCAACTTAATGAGCACCAAGATGCAAAGATCCTACTCTCATGGCGCTCACAGCCCAGTGTGCAGAGAGGCCTGGGGATGGGCATCCAGAAGCCACTTTTTTGCCCAGCTTAGAACAGAGGAGAAGATAAGGGGGGTGGGGAACCTCGGAGGTGGGTCCAGAGTAGAAGGTGACAAAGTGTACTAGGGCCTTGACTGACCACCTTCCCCCCATCCCAGGGTACACGGTGCAGGTGGGAAGCGCCATCCTTCACCGTACAGACATCACCATTGTGGCAGGTGCCCCACGGCACCGACATATAGGCGCTGTCTTCTTGCTGAGCCAGGAGGGAGGTGGATACCTGCGGAGGAGGCAGGTGCTGGAGGGCACACAGGTGGGCGCCTATTTTGGCAGCGCCATTGCCCTGGCAGACCTGAACAATGATGGGTGAGAATCCAGGGACATTCTCTGGGGCCAGGGAGAATGGTGAGGGGGGCAGGCTTGCCAAGGCAGAGGAATGGAGGCTTGCCTTTGTGCATTTGTTTGCATGCTATCCCGGGGATTGCAAATCAGTTGTGCCCATTGATTTGCCATCAGATTCTATGGGATTCTGGGTATTTGCATGTCAATTGCATGACACCTGCATCTCTATGTCTGTTGTTCCTATGGCTCTAGTGGATATGGGCTGTTTGGGTATGATCTGTACCTGCATGGCTTCCCCCTTGTGTTTTCTGTTAGACAGGTCATGCCAGGTCATGGCATTTCCATGGCTTTCCCAAGACCTATGGCCGGAGGTGCCATCTGTAGAGTCGTGTGCCCTGGCACAATTGTGCCTGCTAAACAAGAGTCATGCTGCATGTTGCATGCTCACCTCACATTCCCATTTCCCCCTCCTTCTCTCCTCTGCAGGTGGCAGGACCTCCTGGTGGGTGCCCCCTACTACTTTGAGCGGAAGAAGGAGGTAGGGGGTGCCATCTACGTCTTCATGAACCAGGCAGGCACCTCCTTCCCTGCCCACCCTTCCCTCCTTCTTCATGGCCCCAGTCGCTCTGCCTTTGGCTTCTCCGTGGCCAGCATTGGTGACATCAACCAGGATGGATTCCAGGGTATGAGCTAGCATTATCGCCCCAGCACCCCCACTGAATGAGTGCCAGCTGCATACCAGGCTTGACAGGGGCCAAGAGGAGATGGGGTGGGGCCTAGGCCCCAGGGAGCTAGAGCAGTACTGGAGAGAGGACGAGAAGAGAGCCACCGCAGGCGAGGAGGGAGCGTACTGCTGGGCATCGAAGGCTGGGCTGAGTGCCCGGTAGAGAGGAGCAGAAGGGGTACAATGTGAGGATGGGGTACCTGCCTAGTGTGCCCAAATCTAGTGGGTGTTCACTTCAGAGATGAGGCTAGAGAAGGAGTGTGAGGGTGGGATGGATGTTTTTGAAAGCCAGGCAGGGGAACGAGGGCTTTCTATGTGGGTAATGGGAAAAGGGTGTCCAGAGAAGGTTTGGGGGCAGGGATATGATATGATAGCTTGGTGCCTTGGTACACTGAGAGATCATTCTGGAAGGAAGTGTGGGATGGATGTCGGGAGCAAGGCTGGGGTGTTAAAATCAAGGATGTAGTGTATCAGTTGGGGGAAGTTAAGAGCTGAGACAAGGTTGGGAGCCCTGGATATAGAGGATGTCATCAGAACTCTGCAGCACTTGGGGACCAGTCAGACCTGGGTGTCAGGGAGAGGGACAGATCAAGGGGTCGAGCCTGGTTGTCATGCGAGCACCGGCTGGTCTGGAAGTCAGTTCTCTGGCATCCTCAGTACCCTAGAACTTAGCTGAAAACCAAAAGGAAGGCTAAGGAGCCTCTAAGAGTCAAAACAGGTGACAGAAAGCTCAGCTAATGGAGCCTAAAGCACTTACTGACATGTGAGTCGTCCAGTTTCCACTTAGGGCCTACTTATTCTTCCCGTACATACTTTTCTAACAAGCTTGGCATTCTGGTTACTCAGGCCTTATCAGATCAAAAGCAGCAGACGAAGAGTTGAGTAAAGTTTAAGAAGCTAAAACATTTTGGATTCATGTGTGGAAATAATGGTTAGAATTTTAGAAGCCTGGACATTTTAATTAGTAAAGTTCACTATAGTGTTTTGATTAAAATCCCAGCCCCCCAAGTTAGACATACAGGGGCTTCAGCATCCTCTCCTCTACTAATTGGCTGTGTGACTTTGGGGTTTCTGAGTTTATTTCCTCATCTATAAAGTGAGGACAGTAGTACTTACTGCCAGCACCCTTGTGAGGATTAAATGAGATGAGTACTTGCTAACTACCTGGCAAAGTCACCAATGGGGGACATGTTTTTGTGACGCTGCTTGCATATGACATTAGAATAAACAGGTGTCTGGAGGGGAGATGGGTTGGGGACATGACAGGCACCATAATAAGGGAAAATAAACACCAGCCAGTGGTCAGGAATCTGGAGTGTGGGCCACCTGAGACATTAAGCTGCTATGTGACTGAGTAAGTCACTTCCTTCCCTTGGACCTACTTTCCCCACATATAAAAGGAGGCAAGTGGGTGACCGATGGTCCCAGTTTTAATCCTGAGGCACAGAGCTGTGTTCCCTGATGGTCTGAGTACTACCTGGCAGGGTGAGGTCAAGGCCATGCTGGGCTCCGTGGCTGGAGCACAGGGTTGGGGAGGCGTGGGGCCCACAGCCCCCGCGATGACCCCATTCTGCCTCTCCTCCCCAGACGTCGCTGTGGGAGCTCCATTTGAGGGCTTGGGCGCAGTGTACATCTACCACGGCAGCTCCAGGGCGCTCCTCCAACAGCCCCAGCAGGTAGGAATGGCCAGGGAAGGGCACCTGCCCTCTTTGGCTCACCCAGCCCCCCTTCCTTCCCATGGGCCCTGCTCCCTGGAGCCTGCCCTAGAGCCTGTCTTCCGTGCTTCCCCCTGCCCCAAGGTAATCCATGGAGAGAACCTGGGACTACCTGGCTTGGCGTCCTTTGGCTACTCCCTGAGCGGAAAGATGGACGTGGATGAGAACTTCTACCCAGACCTGCTAGTAGGGAGCCTGTCAGACCGCATCGTGCTGCTGCGGTGAGCCAAGGCGACGGCGAATAGGGGCCCGTTCTCTCTTCCGACCCTGCCTGTGTGGAGCCCCATCTCTGTCCACCTTCACCACCAGGTCCACGCAAGCCTGAGCCCTGGCCTTGCCTGGCCTGGGGCAGGCAGGAGGTGCTGATATCTGCATGTTTTCTATGCAGGGCCAGGCCTGTCATCAACATCCTTCACAGGACCTTGGAGGCCAGGCCATCTGTGCTGGACCCTGTGCTCTGCACAGCCACCTCCTGGTGAGATTCTCAGTCCCTGCCCTGCCCACCGATTCCTCCTCATGTGTAGACAAACCAGGAGGGGCCCTGGCTCCCAAACCTCTCCCTGGCATCTCCTGCGATCCTACCACTAGGGGGTGGGTTCTTGGGGTAAGCATTGTTCAGCCTACCCAACCTCATTAAAAAGCAAAATTCCCTGCAGGAGGTAGTGGATGAAGAGGGGAGGGGGCAGCAGGGCATGGTGGTTAGCAGTGGGAGCTCTGGACTGGCTGCTCCAAATGACAGCTGCGCCCGCTGTAGGGGTACGGGTAGGCCCTGGGCAGTTGAGATCCCAGGGGAGGAGGAACGAGGGAGACACTTCATTGGATGTAGGGAAGAAGAGAGCCACTATTAGCAAACGATTACTCTTTCTGAGTCTCAAATTCTTTTTTTAAAAAAAGATTTTATTTATTTATTTTTAGAGAGAGGGGAAGGGAGGGAGAAAGAGAGGGAAACATCAATGTGTGGTTGCCTCTCGTATGCCCCCTACTGGGAACCTGGCCCACCACCCAGGATTGTGCCCTGACTGGGAATCGAACCGAGGACCTTTTGGTTCGCTGGCCAGAACTCAATCCACTGAGTCACAGCAGCCAGGGCAGATTCTTTGCCTATAAAACAAAGTTAATAATAACCAATTAAAAGGATTGTTTTGCTAATTAAATGAGATAATGTACAAAAAGCCCTTAGCATGGCACCCTGTATACCCTAAATGCTCAAAATATGTTAGGTGCTGAGATGGTGACTCAAAGTCTTTCTGTGAATGAGGATATTGGATTAGAAGGCCGAGGGAGACAGGGCAGAGCCGTGGGGGTGTGCGAGGAGATCTGGACTGGAGATCCTGGCTGCGCCACAACTTTAGGCAACTCCTTCTGCTCTCAGGGCCTTAGTTCCCCCCCTGGGACCTCTTTCCCTATTATCTATGGCTCTGATGGGAGTGGGGAGGGGAGAAGCCAGGGAACCCCCAGACCAGTTCTGTGGACTGTGGATTCCCCAGTTGTGCCCTGCCTTTCCCCTCAAGGGCCCTGTGTCCCCTTGCCCAGTAAAAGGAGCAAAAGCTAGGGCTTGGATATCTGGGTCACACTGTGACCCCCTCTATGTCCTCCGCATCCCCTTTCACCAGTGTGCAGGTGGAGCTGTGCTTTGCTTACCAACAGAGTGCTGGGAACCCCAACTACAAGCGAAACATCAGTGAGTGCTGGGGTGCGGGGTGTAGGGTGGGGGAGGCATGCTCACCTACGCACTTGCTGACCGCCCCATCCTCCGCCTGCAGCCCTGGCTTACACTCTGGAGGCCGACCGGGACCGCCGCCCACCCCGGCTTCGCTTTGTGCAGAGCCAGTCACCTGTGTTCCATGGCTTCTTCTCCATGCCTGAGATGCGCTGCCAGAAGCTAGAGCTGGTCCTGATGGTGAGGGAGCCATCCCTCAAAGACAAAGCCAGGATCCCTCCAAGTCAAGGGCGAGGGACCGGAGTCTCCCCAGTGAAAGAGATGGGGGAGGTTGCCTGGAGGCCGTAGGTCTCCAGGGGGCAGAATACACAGCATCCAGCATGTGGTAGAGGAGAGACAGAGACCCTTGGAGTGGGGATGGGGCCAAAGGGCTCCTCGCCTCTGAGAAGAATGAGGGTTGTGAGCCTCAGCTCAGCTCTCGGGGGAAAGGGTCCATGAGTGGGGGGCAAGCTTAGCCACTCTCTGGGACATCCGAGTGGAAAGGGAGAGTTCAACCTGGGGATACCTGGGATGAAGGGAGACTCAAACCTCCCCGGAAAGATCTGGGGAGGGTGAGCCCCCATCTCCTCACTTGTGGATCAAGGTGGTAGGAATGAGGTCAGTTTGGTAATAGAACAAGAAAAGGTTCGGCCGTACTGGGGGGCTTTCAAGGCGGAGAGGGGCCTAAGCTCCTTCTTGGGGGCTCAGGGTGGTGTGAGGATTCAAGTCGGCAGGGAGGGCAGTGCAGCGATGGGCTCAGCTTGCTGTCTTTCCCAGGACAACATCCGTGACAAACTCCACCCCATTGTGATCTCCATGAACTACTCTTTACCTTTGCGTTTCCCGGAGCGCCCCCGGCTGGGGCTGCGGTCCCTGGACGCCTACCCAATCCTTAACCAGGCACAGGCTCTGGAGAACCACACTGAGGTGGGTGAGGCCGGGACCAGCAGGGAGGGGCCGGAAGGGCGGTGGGAGGAGAAGGTGCCGCGGGGCGGGCGGTGGGCTCCTCACACCTCTGGCCACCCCAGGTCCAGTTCCAGAAGGAGTGCGGGCAGGACAACAAGTGCGACAGCAACTTGCAGATGCAGGCAGCCTTCGTGTCGGAGCAGGGGCAGCAGATGAGCAGGTGCACTCTGGGCCGCACCGATTGGCCAAGGGTGGGGCGGCCTTCATTGGCTAATGGGAGTGGAGGGGCGGAGATCTGTGGGGTGGGGCTTCACCGGCCGGGAGCGGGGCCTCAGGCAGAGGCGGGGCTGAGACAGTGGACCTTAATTGGCCGGGTAGGGTGTGTGAGACCTTCATTGATTAGAAACGGGGTTTTTCCCCCACCAGGTGAGACCAGAGGGCGAGGCCTGGCTGTCCCGAGAAGGGGCTTTCCTGACCTAGTGGACCTGAGGGGTGGGGCCTAATTGATCCGGGTGGGTCCGGGGTGGGGCTCTGGGCTCAGTCCTTGGCTCCTCTCTTTTCAGGCTCCAGTACAGCAAAGACCTCAGGAAACTGCTCCTGAGCATCAACGTGACCAACGCCCCAAGCAGGGAGCGGGCTGGGGAAGATGCCCACGAGGCGCTGCTCACCCTGGCAGTTCCCCCGGCCCTGCTGCTGTCCTCAGTGCGCCCTGTGAGTGCCCAATCCGGGCTCCACCACGTATTTACATCCTTATATGCATGTCATTGACACGTGTTGTCATTTGTCTTGTGTTCCCTCTTCTCTGGGCTGGGCCCCTTCATGTGCCTACAGCTTTTCTGTTGCTAGGGGAGTCCTTTTCTTAAGCCTCTAGAGCTCCAGACAGACCCTGTGCCAAAGGGAAGGGGCGGGGCAAGCCCTACTCTGACCCTTCAGACCTGATTATCTTCCTTCCTCAGCCTGGGGCTTGCCAGGCCAACGAGACCATCCTTTGCGAGTTGGGCAATCCCTTCAAACGGAACCAGAGGGTAAGCCCTGGCCACACCCGCCCAGACTACTCCTTATTCTTCTTGCTTCTGCCTGCCTATGTCCTAGCCTTTCTCGAAGCAAAGAGACATAGTGGGTGGGGGAGGAGGAGATAAAATAAGGGGTGGGGAGAGATCCAGAGGCTGAGAAAAATGCAGCCACTAGGGAGCCATACACAAAGTGAGAGGAGGTGGAGGTGAGGAAACCAATTTTGCTGAGCACCTACTATATGCTACACCCCAAGCCCAATACTTTGCTTCTTTTATATGATATAATTCTCACAACCTTCTGAGCTGGTAGATGCTGTTTTACAGAAAGGAAACACAGGCTTAGAAAGTTTTAGCAACTTGCTTAAGGTCATGCAGCTCAAAAGTAATAAAGATGTCGTTGACAGAGGAGGGGAAAATGGAAGCAAAGATGAGACTGGGGAGGTAAAATAATGGAGATAGGTGGGGAGGTGGAGACCCCTCACCCAGACCTGGGGGAAGAGGAGGCCAGACAATCAACTCTCCAGCATAGCGTTCAGCGCCCCCGGGCCCATCGCATCACCCCTGCCTGGCCCCAAACACCCCTCTCGACCTCACCGGCCCTCATGGCAGATGGAGCTGCTCATCGCCTTTGAGGTCATTGGGGTGACCCTGCACACAAGGGAACTCCAGGCGCAGCTGCAGCTCTCCACGTAAGTGGCTTTGCAAAGCCAGTCTGTGTTGGGGTTAAGGTTAGCTGGGGCCTCCCCAGTCCCAGCCTCAGCTGACACATCTCCTTGCTGACTCCCTGCACTTCCTTCCCAGGTCAAGTCACCAGGACAACCTGTGGCCCATGACCCTGACTCTGCTGGTGGACTACACGCTCCAGGCCTCACTCAGCATGTGGGTACTCCCTCCTGCAACACATACCCCCTGCCTCCCGCCAGTCTGCTGTTCCTGAGCTAGGGCATCGCTGTCCTCGAGGTAGCCCCCAAGCTTCGCTGACGCACCTCTCTTGGCCTGGTATCCCAAGGCCTCCACTTCCCTTGGGTCTTCCCTCCCCTGAACGACAACAATCGCTGTCATTCTTGTTGTTGTTATTATTCCCCCTGTAAAGCTGGCAGCGGTGGAGGATCCGCTACTCTGGGGAATAAGGTGTTAGTGTGGACCTACCATCTCTTGACAGCTCATTGTGCTGAAGATTTTAGGTACATCATCTCATTGACTTTTTGCCACAGCCCATGATATAGCAATGATTATTAACTCCCTTTTACAGAGAGGAAGCTGGAGCTCAAAATTGATAAATAACTTGCTTGGGGCCACACAGCTATGGCAGGGCTGGGATTTATCTCAGATCTGCCTGATGTCAGAGGTAGTTAACCAACTTTGGTGCCCACACCCTCTGCCAGAGCCCTTCCTGTTTCCTATGATTCCAGTGTCTTTCTTACTGTTAGGGTGAGTCACCGGCTACAAAGCTACTTTGGAGGAGCAGTGATGGGTGAGTCTGGCATGAAAACTGTGGAGGACGTGGGAAGCCCTCTCAAGTATGAGTTCCAGGTAAGGGGACCTCTGGAACCCTGGGCTGGAGACTCCTGGGAAGGCTGATGGGACGTTCTTTCTGGGTCTGGGGTCTCAGGCTGTGACGGTTGGGGGTTGGTGAGATGGAGGGGGTTTTCTATGATACAGTAGCCTTGACACCCTTTGTGCCCACAGGTGGGCCCAATGGGAGAAGGGCTGGCATCCCTGGGGACCCTGGTCCTAGGGCTGGAATGGCCCTATGAAGTCGCCAATGGCAAGTGGCTGCTGTACCCCACGGAGATCGCCATCCAAGGCAATGGGTCCTGGCCCTGCCAACCACCAGGAGACCTTATTAACCCTCTCAACCTCACTCTCTCCGTAAGGACACCACAGGGATCTTTTATTTGCATAGCATTTGCATTGCACCATTTGCATGCTGCAGGGCAGAGAGGCCAGCGTCTCCCATCCCTCCCCTCACACCCTTAGGGAGCCTGCCTCTCCCCTCGCCCTTTCTTTCTCTCCTCACCTCTGCTCTCATTCCCTCCTCCCAGCAAAGCTCCTCTTCCCTCTTCAGGTCCCTGAGGACAGACGGCCATCTCCACAGCGCAGGCGGCGGCAGCTGGACCCAGGGGGAGGCCAGGGCCCCTCACCTGTTACTCTGGCTGCTGCCAAAAAAGCCAAGTCTGAGACCCAACTGGTGAGTGGCCAGGCTGGAGAGGATTATGTCCACACACTCAGTAGGCTCACAAAGCAAGGGGCTTAGGGGCTACTCACCAGAAGACCCCAACCTGATGAGGGGGTGTGCCTCCTGCCCTCAGGAGCCCCCAGTCAGAGCGGGCAGACTCATCTCCTGCCCCAGATCGCTTCTCACTGCCCTTGCCCTTGGGAGCAGCCAATACAATGGACCAAAGGAAGAGACACTGGCTCTGTCCCCAGCAGGAGCCCCAACCTTTTGGGGTGACATAGCTGTTCAAAGCCTTGGACATTAGGACTGGGGAACGGGGAAGGGCAGGACAAAGCGAGAGAGGAAGAGGCCTGGGAAGTAAGTTGAGGCCTAGCTGCATGGAGAGGTAGGAGGCAGTCGGTATCGTAGGTGGAGGGAGCTGGGAAGGGGAGGTTGCGGACGGGGCCCCCTTTCCATGAGCAGGGATCAGATTTCATGTTATCCATGTCCCTGGCATCCGTATGTACTAGGCCCAAAGAATGTGCCTTAAATGTGTAAGTACGGGGGTGGGGGCATGTGGCTGAGTTGAAGGGACGAGGTCAGGATCCTTTGGGCCAGCCATGGGTAAGACAAAGCCAGGGAAGGCATCAAAGGTAAGGGGCAAAGCATGAAGAATCTAGAGGCCCAGCCTGTCTCACGTCCTGTGTCCCCTGCCTACCTCAGAGCTGCGGCAGTGTCCACACCCACTGTGTGTGGCTGGAGTGCCCCATTCCTGATGCCCCCGTCATCACCAACGTGACAGTGCGGGCTCGAGTGTGGAACAGCACCTTCATTGAGGTCAGTGCCTGGGACTGGCGGTCCCCATTGCCACCATCTGAGTGGAGAGAACAACAGGGAGAGGGTGAGGCCAGGGTCAGAGCAAGGTCTCCGGTGCGCATGCGCGCATGGGGAACGGCATTGTGCTTTGTGCATGACAGGTTATACACCTGTGACTTGTGCTGTGCTAGTTTGTGTGCCTTTGTGTGGACATGACATGTTTGTCTCCAGCCAAAATGACCTTCTCCCGTGTGTCCATTGTTCTGCATGTGTCCACGACTTTCCCGCCTGCAGGTCTTTGACGTGCTGCTCCTTCCCCCTAGAATGCCAGACTCCTCCCTTAGCTCTGCATGCAAACTCCTATTCAGTTTTAAAGGTCTCCCTCAGGTGCTTCACCACCAGCGAGGCCTTTTCTGGCTGAAAATGATCTCTCCTCCTAGATTATAAATCTTTTCAGCTTTGTGGGCCATAAGTTTCTGTTGCAGCTGAGCTGTTCTGCCACTGTAGCACAAAGCTGCCATAGACCATAGTCAGTAATCAGGCGTGGCTGTGTGCCCAAAATACTTTATTTACAAAAGAAGGTGGACCCGGGCCAGGTGGCTCAGTTGGTTAGAGCATCGTCCCGACACACCAAGGTTTCGGATTCAGTCCCCAGTCAGGGTACATACAAGAATCAGCCAACAAATGCATACATAAGTGGAAGAGCAAATCAATGTGTGTGTCTCTCTCGCAAATCAATACATTAAAACAACAACAACAAAAAAGCAGGTGGTGGGCCAGATTTAGCCCACAAACCTGACCTAGACTGTGACCTTCACTGTCTCTGTTGTCCTCAGCATCCAGCACAGGATCCAATGCATGCATGAATGAATGCTGTCCATTTGTGTGTAGGGAGGTCTGGCTGTGAGACCTTTTTGTGTGCTGCTTTAGGATGCTGTGTGGTGGGAGGGTCCCCTGCGGGGAGGGGAAGCTTAGGGTCAGGAGGGAGGCCCAGCTGCTTCTTTTGACACACTCCTTTTCCCTCCAGGATTACAAAGACTTTGACCGAGTCAGGGTATCCAGCTGGGCCACCCTGTTCCTCCGAACCAGCGTCCCTACCATCAACATGGAGAACAAGACTGTGCCGGTGAGTGAGTGTGTTAACTGGCCAGGGCAAGGGAGCGCAGGGCATCTTTTCAGAGCATTCACACACTTTAGCTATGTGGTTCTCAATCTCGGCAGTACATTGCAACCACTGAATGCGTACATAAGTGGAAGAGCAAATCAGTGTGTGTGTGGAGGACTTCTGATGTCTGGACCACAACCCTGAGCACTGAAATCTGAGTCTATGGTCGTGGGATCCAGTACTGGCTTGTCTCAAAGCTTCCCTTCCTCTGATTCTAAAGGGCAGCCATGGTTGAGAACCTCTGTTTGAGCTCATTTGATCCACATGACATCTTCATGAAGATGTCCTGTCTCCAAGGCAACTTGAAAAAAAGTTCCCAAATTTGATTCTGAGTTATATCTGGAAGAATAAATATGACAAAGTTGTCAATAATTTGTTATGAAAAGGATGTAAATGTAGATATATAGGAAATACATATAGAAGACGAATGGAAGGTTGGTTAAATATGTTATGGTACATTTCCTAAAATAAATTAAGGTACTGGAGGAAGGGCCAGAAAGATTGATGGAATAGTATAGAAATTTATTTTATTATGCAGATGGCATTTTTTAAAATTTTTATTTATTTATTATTAGAGAGGTGGGAAAGGAAGGAGAAACAGAGGGAAAAAAGCATCAGTGTGTGGTTGCCTCTCGCATGCCCCCTACTGGGGACCTGGCCCACTACCCGGGCATGTGCCCTGACTGGGAATCGGCCGGTGACCCTTTGGTTCACAGGCCGGCCCTCAATCATCTGAGCCACACCAGCCAGGGCTACAGATGGCATTTTTAATCAGTAGAGAAAGGTAGATTATTAAGTCATATTAGGAGAGCACATTTGGAAGGTAAAGACAAACCCCTACCTCACACCATAAACAAAAATACATTTGAATTAGATTAAATATTTAAAATAGGAAATAAAACCTAATATACCAGAAGAAAATTCAGAAAACAATTTAATGATAATCTTTAATTATGTGGAGAGGGAGTTCTTTCATGAAACCTAGACGTCCCAAAGGGAAAATTTGAAAAACTAGACTATATGAAATTTTAAAGCTATATACAGACATATGTTGGAGTTATTGCAGGTTTGGTTCCAGACCACCTCAATAAAGTGAATATCACAATAAAGTGAGTCACATGAATATTTTGGCTTCCCAGTACATATAAATGTTATGTTTACACTATACTGTAATCTCTTAAGGGTGCAATAGTATTACATCTATAAATACAATGTACACACCTTAATTAAAAAATACTTTATTGCTAAAAATGCTAACCAACTTCGGAGCCTATTGGAAAAATGGTGCTGATAGACATGCTTGATGCAGGGTTGCCACAAACCTTCAATTTGTAAAGAAAATGCAATATCTGCAAAGTATAGTAACATGAAGCGCAAGCAAATAAAGTATGTCTGTACAGCACAGAGACAGTAAGGAAACTCATAGTGCAAGTGATATATTGCTTTTTAAAAAATCTGCAGCAGCCCTAGCTGGTGTGGCTCAGTGGACTGAGCGCCGGCTGCAAACCAAAGGGTCATCAGTTCAATTCCCAGTTGGGCATGTGCCTGAGTTGCGGGTGGGTCCCCAGTGGGGGGCGTGCTAGTGGCAACCACACATTGCTGTTTCTCTGACTCTTTCTCCCTACCTTCCCCTCTGTCTAAAAATAAAATAAGTTAAATCTTTAAAAAAGAAATCTATAGCACATATAACAAAGTATTGATATATATTTAACACATAAAGGGCAACATAAAAACAAACAGGCATTGTACATAATATAAAATATAAATGCTTAACTCAATAGTAAAGAAATAAAAATAACATCAACAAGACTTTTTATCCGATCAGGTTGGAAAATATGAGAAAGAGTAATGATGTCTGGTACTGATGAGGTGGGAAGAAATGCTTTTGATTGGAGTATAAACTGATGCATTCTTTTTGGAGATAAATTTGTCAATATCTATTAAAATTTCAAATGCCCATTTCCTTTGACCAGCACATGACAATATATCTTAAGGAGCTAATAGGACAAGTATGTGAATATAAATATATGGGGATATTTTAAAACATTGTTTATAATGGCATAAAATTGGAAACAACCTTAAGTGTCTTTCAGTGGATTGGTTCAATAAATTATGATACATATCTAAATGACTATACAGTTATCAGAAGAGATTAGGTTGACCTTTATTAATTGGCATCAAAAGATAATGATATTAAGTGAAAAGGGAAGCAGGTCGCACAAGAGCGTGTGCAGTCTGCATAGATCCCATTTATGTGGAAGAAAAATATATATATTTAACATATGCATTAAAGATATAGAAAGAGATTCACTAAAATGTTGAAGATAGTTATTTCTTAGGGGTAAAATTACTAAGAATCTGATTTTCTTTAAAGTATCTGCATTTTAGCCCTGGCTGCTGTGGCTCAGTGGATTGAGTGCTGGCCTGCGAACCAAAGAGTCGCTGGTTTGATTCCCAGTCAGGGCACTGTGCCTGAGTTGTGGGGCAGGTCCCCAGTAGGGGGCATGTGAGAGGCAACAATACATTGAAGCTTCTCTCCCTATCTTTCCTCCTCCCTCCTCTCTAAAAAACGAAAGAAGGAAGGAAAGAAAGAAAGAAAGAAAGAAAGAAAGAAAGAAAGAAAGAAAGAAAGAAAGAAAGAAAGAGAGAAAGAGAGAAAAAACCTGTATTTAGAAAAATACCAAAATAATTTTTAAAAAATGAATAGTCAGAAAAAACTTTCTATTTATATATAAAATATATCATAATATATGTAATGTATAAATATTTTTTTTATATATCTCCATCATAGAGGAAGAAAAAAAGGGGTACTATATGCTATGCATTCTTTGTTTTTTTTGTAAATATTTATGGACTGCTTGCTGTGTACCAGATATTGCTCAAAGTAGTTTACTCATATTGAATGCATTTAGTCCTCCCAGCAACCTATTAGGTAGGTATTATTATCTTAATCTTCATTTTACAGTTGAACAGAGAGGTTAAGCAACTTACCCAAGGTCACACAGCTAGTGAATAGCACAGCTGGGACTTGAACCCAGGTAGCCTGGCTCCACACATGCTTTTGGACACTCGGCTGTGTCCATATTATGAAGCAGGCATTATGATCCCCTTATCAGAGACCATGAAATTGAGATTCAAAGAAGTGAAATTACTTGTTTAAGTTCACGCAGCTTGTCAGGGGTGGAGCTGGTACCCAATCCTGGATGTGTGGGTCACAAACCCAGGTTCTAGGCTGCCTCCCAGGTTTGAGGCTGCTGCTTTGGAGAATCAAGAGGACGGATGAATCTACGGCTCTCAGTGGTCAGACAAGGGCTTTTTCCAATCCCCGAGTACCCCCTACTGGCCATGGGTCAAATAGCAGCGTTGGGGACCAAGCTGGGGCAGGAAGGATGCACCTGCGGTCTCAGGCGGCAGACACAGAGCTGAGCCCCTTCTCACCCTCTCCAGTTCTCGGTGGACATTGACTCTGAGCTGGTGGAGGAGATGCCGGCCGAGATCGAGCTGTGGCTGGTGATTGTGTCTGTGACTGCCGGGCTGCTGCTGCTGGGGATCATCATCCTCCTGCTGTGGAAGGTCAGGGTCCCAGCCCCCGACCTGGACTGCTCTGGGACCTCCTGCCAGCAGACCCTCCGCGACTCTCCCTTCATCCCATCCCTCACATCTATCTCACCCCCACCCTTCTCCCAGGCCCTCCCACCTCCCCAGCTTTTAGTCTCACCCCCTGCCCATTCTCACCTCACCCACTGGGATGCTTCCGCCTGGGTTGATGGGGGGACCTGCAAGCTGGAAAGGGGAATCCAGGAACTCTGGCTCCTGGCCACACCACCCAGCTGGTGCTGGAACCCAGGGCTCCAGGCTCCCCGGCCCTAAGCCCCCCGTCCATGAGTGTTGCCGGCAAGGACCCTCAGCTCCCCCTGATGGCCCCTCCCCGCCTCCTCCCCTCCGTAGTGCGGCTTCTTCAAGCGAGCCCGCACTCGCGCCCTGTATGAAGCTAAGAGGCAGAAGGCGGAGATGAAGAGCCAGCCGTCAGAGACAGAGAGGCTGACCGAAGACTACTGAGGGGGGCAGCCCCTGCCCCCACCCCACCTGGGTAACTTGGCCTCTGGGCCCTCTTCCCTGAGCCCCCCAGCTGGCCAGGGCCTCTGACTCTGTCCTGTCTGCTCATCCTCCTTTATGGGACCTCTCTGTACCTCACTCTGTCCCCATTACCACTGCAAAGAACAGGCCACTCTGTCTGCTTCCACTCCATGCCCTAAGAGCTTGGGGTGTCTTCTCTGACCAGCCTCCCCACTGGGCTCCTCAAGGACTTGAGACCCCAAAAGGTAGCCATAAAACCCTCCCCGTGCATTCTGGGAATGGAAAAGTGTCAGGACCAAGGCTAGGCCCCATCTCTGTCGTTCACAAGGCAAATTTCCAGAGTGCTCCTACACCCCCATTCCCACCTCCAGAGAAACAGGAGACTAGTAGAGTCCTTCCTCCTGGGAACCATCACTTTTCCTCTGGGGAACCCCTGCCAGGGTGAAACTGACCCCTCCCCACACCGGCCAGGATAGATCACCACCCTTCCTGGCCATCCCATCAGCAACCTTGGCGGCGGCCCCCTACCTCCATCTGCCTCTCCCACTCCTCTCTCCCTCAGCTCCTCCTTCCTCTGGGGTCCGGGGTGCGGAACCTCGCCTCCCTGTCTCAGGCTTGTGTCTGCATCAGAGGTCCTGGCTTTGAGGACCTCTGGGCGGGGGAGGAAGGAGCTGGGCACATCTTCTCACTGGCTCCAGAGCCAGATGCTGATGTCTGTCCTCTTCTCCCCCCAACTCCAGTGTGACTTCTTTAAGCGGACCCGCTATTACCAGATCATGCCCAAGTACCACGCAGTGCGGATCCGGGAGGAGGAACGCTACCCACCTCCAGGGGGGACGCTGCCCACCAAGAAGCACTGGGTGACCAGCTGGCAGACATGGGATCGATACTACTGATGTCCTCCCAGATCCCACCCCTACGCCCCCAGTGTCCCCTTCTTCTGTTTGTCATAAGTTATGCCCCGACAGTCCACAGGGGCCACTGCCTTTGGCTGGCACCAGTAGGTTCCGGCATTCACACCTCTTCAAGTACATGCATATGCCATCTGGCCACAGGCTTCTCCCTGCAGGAGGGCGGGGGCTGTGGGCCCTGCTATGCCGAGCACGCCGCGGCCCTGTGTGTGGGGACACGTGTGGACAAAAGTGGGCCCCACTCTTTGTGGGCTGTGCTTGTGCACCACAGATGGTGTGGACATGCGTGTCCCCGCCTTTGCCTATGCCAAAACCAAGCCAAAGGCCTCTGCCAGAGCCAGGAGGGAAAGGCCTCCAAAGTGGTGACACCTCCACCATTTACACTGGACCCATCTTGAGCCATAGTCACTGGATGGACTCTGCTCTCGAGATAAAACTACTGACAAGGAAGAGCCCTCTAGGCCTCCAGCTGTAGTTCCTGGCACCCATGCCAGAGCACAGGCGTAGGGGTCCTGCCTGAGTTTGTCCGAGTGGATGTTTGCAGTACCTGGCACACTCAGACTCAAGAGCAGAATGAACTAGAAGGAAGGTCCTCAGGATGGCTTTGTTTCATGGATCGCTGCGAAACCTCTTTCCTCAGCCAAACATGCACTAGTGGGGAATGCAGCCTAAAGGAACAAAGACGGACAAACCGCTAGACAGCCAGGACACGCTGCACCGGGACCGCCCTGGGAGCACAGTGGAATCCTCAGCAGAGGAGGGGACTGGTCCTGGGCCAAGATGTTGGAAGGATCCAGAAGAAATGCCACTTCTCACCTACCACTATCATCCTGGCCTCTGAAGGGCCTGGAGAGATCACAGAGGGAGCGACACTTGAATGTAGGACAGGGAGGGAGCCCTGTCCCTGCCCTATTGGCCAAACTCCACTCTTTCCCCACCGACCATGGGTTAGAAGCCTAGACGTGGAGTTCTTGGCTGTCCTTGGCTTTCATCACCAATCGGCTCTGCCTTCTCCCCGTTGGGCAGAGTCCCCAGGCCCATTCTAGAAGTTGAAGCTGGTTCCAGAAACCCTCTCCTGCCCGCTGCCTGCTGGCGGGCCCCCCACTCTTTCCACGGTACTGTAGCAGGGGAGCTCCCTCTCCCTCCTTGTGCCTTCTTTGTACATAGGCTTCTCACATCAACCAATAAACAGCTCCCAGTTTGTACACACTGCACCTGCCTCCACCCCTCACCACGGTCATTCATTCTGATGGAAAAATGACACCTAGCTGACCCCCAGGTGGACAAAGCCTGAGGCAGGAGCCTTAGACGTTGGGAGGGTGAAGATCTATGGAGCAGGTACCTGCCCCTGCTCTCAGGGATGCCCCAGTCTAAGGGCTGATCATAGACAGGGAATTGAAATGCAGAACATAAGATGAGGGGAGAGACCCGAGTAGATGGGATGGAATCGAAAGTGGCGACGAGGGACCTGGCTCTGGGGGAGGAGGAGGGGAGAGGGTGATGAGAGAGTCTGGAGGAGACAGGGAACTATGTGCTGTAGTAACAGGTAGTTCTGCACCACGGTGGAGGAAGACTGGGTGCAGGGGTGGGGAGCCAAGAGTCCCAGTCCGGTGGCTGAATTCCAGTAAAGACTGGCTTTTCTGTCTCAAACTGTCCACCACTGCCTACAGGTATCATGGTGAGTAGATAGTTAATCAGAAGGTGACCAAGTGACTCTTTAGCTGGAAGGACTGAAAGGTCATAGTCCCATTCTGCAGCCTCCAGGTAGGAATGCCTGGAGCCTTAGTCCCTCTGGAAACGCGCCCCCCCCCCGGGGTGCATCAGTACTGAGCTGATTGGTCCCCACACAGCATTGGATCGAGTCCTCCGTTCCCTCCGCTGTGCTAAGGTTGTCCCTCCAGGCCTAGGGAAGGGAGCAAGGCTGCTATTCCCATGACTTCATTCTAAACTGTGGCGCAGGTCCTTCTGTTAATTTTCCCTAAGGCTGTGACCTTTGGTGACAGCCAGAGGCAGGTCTTCAGTTAAGCTCCTCTGAGAGCCCCCAGGCCCAGACCAGTCTCCTGGGAGCTGCTCCTGACGTCTACCCCATATCTCAATGTGGTAGCTGCCTGCACTCTGCCCCTCCCTAAGGGCCCACCTCACATGGAGTCGTGGGCCCAGCGCCCTACTCTCCTTTCTGTGCTGCTATTTGCTCCTTCCTGTGTTGGTTGACAGTGGCATGTCCAGTTTCTCTGGGAAAGAAAACCTCAGCCCCAACCCAGAGCGCTAAAAGCCAGGCATAGGAGGCCTCAGTCTGTTTCCCAGAATCTGTGTCATTCACCAGGTCAGGAATAACACTACATTGTAGGTTATCAAAGTCCAGCTCTAGCTGAGCCAGCTCAGTCCAGTTCTTTGCAGCCACCTTCTCTTAAGAAAAAGTGGGATCGATATATATATATATATATATATATATATATATATATATATCCCTCTGGCCAGCTTCAGAGGCACAGCCCCAGTCTCTTGTGAGCAGCTGTTTGAATGAAAACATACAGTCTGTCATACACACACATACTCGCTTGTGAGAAAAAGTATTCATTTTCATGATTGGTGCAGCTATGTTTTTATGCAAAAAACATAATGGCAGAGATGCAACAATGCTTTCTTTCTACAAAAGGACGCTCTTTAACGCCAAGCTTGTTGAGCTCCCTAGAGCTGCAGCCCCTCCCAGTTGTTCCAGAAGAGGGTCCTGTCTCTTGTATCACTACAAGGAGCCATAAGATGATTCTCCCCACCTGCGCACATGGTGCAGTTTCACTTTCTGTGCCCTCCTGATGGTATAAGACCATGTGACTAATGAGCAGAAGGTAAGTGGATCAATTCTGGGCTGAGACAGGGAATTGCTGGGTGAAACTCTCCCAGCTCTACTCTTCCTGCCTCTATTGCTGTGGAAGCCTGTGTTGAGATAAAGCTTTTGTCAGTCTGAGTCCCAACCCACGTTGTACATGTAGTAAGTAATTTGGGGTTGGGGGAGGTTTGGTTCCCTCAGCATCACCTGACCTAGCTGGCTGACCGGCCACACCACAGCACTCCCGTTACCACCCTGCAGCAATCTCTGCGGAAGGAATTGTAATCCAAGCGCAGGGTCCACATCATGGAAGTCCAGGTCTAAGCAGAGGATCATGGGGAATCTCTTTCCCTCTCCTACACCTAGCCTCAGAGTTTACTCCTTTTTCCTTGTTACTTTAATTTTGAGAATAATCATAAGTGCCATTTACTGATTGTTTACTATGAGCCAGGCACAGGGCTAGGCTTTTTACATATAGCACCTCATATATTCTTCTGGGCAACTTCAAGACTGCAGTCACCAACATCGTCAATGATCTAATTGCCAGCTGGATGGATGTCTGGTGGTCCTTCCTGATACCTCTGTGGCATGTGTCCCTGGTGACCTCGACTTCTTTTTTTTTTCACCTTCTCTGTCCTTCTATGTGCTAGGTGCTGTGCCTGATGCTAGAGACAGTTCAGTGAATAAGACAGACACAACCCTGCCTATGGAGTTTAAAGTCTAGTGGAGTAGGCAGATGAGTTGGCAGCTGATTACAATTCAGAGCAATAAGAGCTCAATGGTACTAAGTTCAAGAGGTCTAAGAAAACCTTGGAGGGAGCACATAACCCAGGCGGTAGAGTCAGGGACCTGAAGAATGGGACGCTGAAGGTGAGAAAAAAGAATGATCCAGGTAGAAGAGACAGCATTTTGCAATAGCTTGGAGATTGGAGGCTGACTTCAGGCAGTAGAGAAGAATGGCTCGGAGCTGAGCAGGGGGATGTGGAGAAATGAGGCTGGAGAGTTAAGCCAAAGCAGATCATGTGAGAACTCAAAAGGCTGCAGTAAAAAGTGGACAAAGAGAAAATGCGTGCGTGTGTGTGTGTGTGTGTGTGTGTGTGTGAGAGAGAGAGAGAGAGAGAGAGAGAGAGAGAGAGAGAGAGGAGAGAGAGTCATTGAAAGGCTGTCAGCAGGGGAAGGTAACAAGTTCAGATTTGCTGTTGACTGAGCCTCAGTTCCCTCATCTTTAAAATTGAGATCCTAATAGCACAGTAAAGCTGTCTGGAGAATTAAGTGAGAAAATGCACCAGTGCCTGGCACATAGGTTATTATTCATTCAGTACCTTCCATATGAAGCCTTGAACATAGCTCAGTGTTGTCTATAATCACATTCTGTTACAACTATTCGTCTAATTATTTACTTATGCAGCTATTTCCAAAACTGAGAAACGACAGGATCGAGGGAAAAGACAGCGTCTTAATCCTGTATGTGTTTCCTGTTCCCAGCACAAAGCCTGACACACATTAGACTCTTGGCAAGTGCCCATCCAGGACTCAGTAGTGAACAGCAAAAACAGCAAAAATAAGCAAAAGGGCGAGTCGGAGGACGAGACGTACCACGTCCTACCGCAAGAGGGCGCACTACGTTCCTACCAGAGAGCAGGTGCAGCTGGGGAAAGGGGAACTCCTCAGCCCTCCAGCACAAAGCACATTTTAGAACCTTTCTCCCAGGAAGCCCAGTGCAGAGAAGATTGCTTTCTCAGGTCAAATGATCTAGGGAATAATAAAAGGTGTTTTGGAAACTGCACTCGTAGCAGTGATGGTAGAGGCTCGCTCTACCTTCTTTTGTGGGTGGATCTTATGAAGTGAGTGGGTTAGGCGTCTGTATGCTAGAGTTGCATCCTGATCCCTAAACTTGCAAGAATTCATAGTCACTGACATACGGACCGGGAACCCACTGAAGGAGACCAGATAGGGACCAGAACAGGTGACACAAGATCATCTAGGAGCACAGGGATTCTTTGAAAGCTACTAGGACAATTTAAGGAAAGCCAAGTGACAGAGATTCGGGGAGGGAACGAGGAAAGGAAGAAGTGTAAAAGAAGGAGCAATAATAACAGGCTTCTGGAAGGGAGGGGTTAACCCGTTGGGACCGTGCGCGAGTTTGCTGGGGGAGGCGGAGTGAGCCGAGGGTGGGGCGGGGCTCTCCTCGCGGTCTCGGGAAAACAACAGGCCTCCCCAAGCCTACCCGGGTTAAGGGGGCGGGCCTGGGGGAAGCCACGTGCCGGAGCGGGAAGCTATAGGCTGTCCCAGAGTTGTTTGTGAGCGGCCATTGGCGGTGTCAGGGAGCCGCCTCCAGCCGATTGGCCAGGTCTTGGAGGACCGCCAGGGCCGGGGAGAGGAGGAGGCGTGAAACCGCTAGGCCGGGCGAGGCTGGGCCGAGCCGAGCGGAGCGCGAGAGCCACCTGCGCGGGCACCCTAGCTCGAACCGGAGCCGCGGTTCCGCCGCCATGCGCTGGATCCGCGCGCTGTTGAAGAATGCGCCCCTGGCAGGGGCGCCCAAGTACATCGAGCACTTTAGCAAGTTCTCCCCTTCCCCGCTGTCCATGAAGCAGTTTCTGGACTTCGGTACGGAGTGGGCAGGGGGCGGCTGGCCGCCGGGCCCCGCGGGGGTCAGGGTGGGGTGAATGTAGGGCTCTCGGCCAAGAAGGATGAACGCGAAAGTGACGACGAAGGGTTGCTTGGAGGGGAACAGGCAGGAAAGGGTTAACGGGGAGGAAAGGCTCCCCGGGCCTGAAACCGTTTTGGGTACCCCCCGCCCCCCGCTGTAGAAACTCTCCACTGGATTATTAATAAGAAGTTAGGGTCATTGAATAGGAGGGGTCCGAGGTGTCTTCCTGGGCTTTGTGAGGGACCTTGGAGAGCAAGGGGCAGCGAAGTGGTGATATTAAGGGCGGGGAGCTAGGAGCATGTACCCAGGCATAAAGGGTCCTGTTGGCTCTAAAGGTGGAAGACAGAGGAAGTAGGGGGAATACTGGTTGGAGTAACAAGGCAGCATTGGAGGTGCAGCCATCTGGCCTGGGTCCTGGAGGGGTCAGTTGGAGAAGATGCCCGCAGGAGAGAGGCCCTGACCAGAATACTTCCACACATTGACAGAGCCAGCCCCCAGCTGTCACAGTGGGCAAGGACACTTGAAGATCAAATTCCCTCAGTCTGGACTGCTTGCCCTCAGCTGGGCAGGGGCCCAGGGCATCATGAGATGGAGTCAGGCGGCTCGTACCCACCCTTGACTGCCCCTGGGTTCCTAGGCCAGGATCACCCACCATCAGTGTCCTGGGGGTGGAGGCTCTGGTGCAAGAGCAAGGCTGTGCCAGTGTGGTGACTGAAACAG